GGTCACAAATAAGCACCTTAGGAACAATGAAAGCTTTTTCTCTATGCAGCAGTGGGAGAGTTGCTAGAAAAACTGGAAAGGTATTAATCAGAAGTGGCTATAAATCCTCTGGAGTTTTGCTCTTATAAAACTCCTCAGAGAAAGTCTTGAAGGAAATGCAGGTCAAAGCCCAAAAAAGCTCTTGATCAGAGATTGCTGGAGGAAAATCTTCCCAGACGCCGTTTAATAGGCAGCAATCACCCCAGGAGTGGGGAAGCCAAGTACGCTTGAAACATGGTTGCAATTCCTAATAGGTCTTGTCACACTTAAGGCACTGCAAGCTCCATCCAACGAACAGCTGAAGCTAGCTGGCGATTCATAAAGCCAACAGTTTAAAGTTTATTATGATGAAAGCACTTAATGACAGCCATCGCTAGGGGCCCATCATTTATAAAGCAGTGCTGAGTATTAGACATGTAGCATGACCACCAATTTTATGTCACAATTGCTACCATAAAATGACCTTTGGTGATTTTTGCTGCATGTGGTGGACAGCTCTTCCTTCACATTAGTGCTCTGTGGCTTTCTTTGCAGACTATTATGCTGTCTAAAGCTTATTTGGCACTGTCGTGAGCCTCAACCCTGGTTATTACCCCGAAGGCCTGTCTAAAAAAAAAAAAAAAAAAACCCTCATGTTCTATTACGCCACTCCAATAATTTACAGTTCTTACCAGCCTTGTTGGGTAGTGTAATATTTTAATGCAAATATGCTTTGCCATTGTATTTTTTTTAAAAGTTTCCATGCTTCTGGCTAGTGAAATATCCATTTGTTGGTAATTCACTAAAATCAGCCTCTTATTTCCTGGTCAGATCTCATTGAATTGGGACCTTTTCCTTTGGTTGTGTCACCAGGAAAAAAAAAAAAAAGGTTAATTAAACTTCTACTGAGAGTTTTTTTAAAAAAAGATCCTATGTGTGATATACTCACCTCAAGCAAAAGCACCAATTCTTATTTCCCTGCATCCAGCCCCAATGCAAATCTGCATCAGAGTAACATTATTTAATTAGGCTTCCATTTGCCACCCTGCTTTGTATAGTTAGAAAGTGTTTGAATACATGACCACTTTACTGCTCCTATGTAAACTGCCGCCGAGAAAGTGGCCTGGCCATGCTACACCACCTTTAAATTGTGTATATAATTTTATAAATGATATAAAATCTGCTTCTAGTCCCTGAAAAAAAAAAACCCACAAGTATGGCACACTGCAATTTTGGAAGGATTTAAAATATGTGATTTCTGCTGGTACCTACTGTATTGAGTTTTATATAAAGCTTTTTTCAATAAGGTAAATTGTTACATGACAAACTCATCTTCCACCATTATCATCTGCTGTTTGTGTTTAACAACAGGAGTCCTGCTCTAACAAAACTGTTGTAATGGCTGTACAAATTACTCAGCTGAAAGCTTTTCACCAAACAAAACAGTATTAATCAGCAGTTCTTATGAAGGTGCTAATTAAAAACAATTTTCTTCCTCAGTTTGCAATACTAAAGCCATCTTCACTTGCACAGTTTCCAATATGCAGCTACTGTATTTGCTCACACTTCAGGCCCTCCATTAACTATTGAATCTTCTATTAGCCATTTTATTACATTTCTGTTTACAAGCTTGTTGACATTTTAAAAGTCACAGTATGATCTGTTTTATCCATTAAAAAATATATTAATTGAAAAGTCAGGGGGACCAAAAAAAAAAAAAAAAGCAAAATACAGACTTCAAATGCAAAGACTTCCAAGTCAGGGAACACAGTGAGTATTTAGCCACAGCCCAGGCAGTAGGCTGTCTGGGTAAAATAAAACCTGAGAATTAAAAGTGGTATTTGAGGCCTAATGGTTTTAAACACCAGTGGGCTGGACTCCTTCCTAACTTGGAACTAGTTCACTCAGGAAAACACATTTGCCCTGAATAAAGTCAGTTTGACTTTCAAACAATCTTTTCTCCATAGGCTATACTCAGTGAGAAGCCGGGAGATTTTGATGTGGGGTGGAACTGCAGCCTAGATCTGGGGTCCAGCCAGCTTTACCCGCCTTGTGAGTGTGTGTGTGCCTGTGTGGCTATGTGTACTTTGACTACCTCCCCCATGTGGGGATCCTGCCTTCCCAGCCCCCACCCGCACCCAATCCAGTGAAAGGGCCTTGCCTCACAATGCTACCCAATGTTCTGGCATAGATTAGAAACAAGTGAAATGCTGACTCAGCACAAAGACAAGAATCCACAGAGGGATTCCGGGTTGAGGGAAGGTGACAGATCATTTTTACTAAAATAAAAAACAAAAATGATACCTAACCCTTAGGAGAAGGTATGCCCTACTTTGCTAGTGGGAAAAGGAAAAAAAAACAACTATCACCTCCTGCCTATGGCATTAAAACCAGGTTCTTCAACTGTCAAAAGCAGTTAACTAGTTTAGGACAGACACCTGGCTGTTGCAATAGGGCTCCAGAGGACCACTAATCCTTCCTTTCACTCAGTTAACTGCTGGAGCCCCCAAATTGATTCAACAGGTATGCAGTAGTAAATTCAGCCCATACTGAAGCCAAAGGGAAAATCAGCAAGGGGCGGGCAGCTCTTCTCTGAAAACACCCGAGGAACCAGCCAGAAAAGCTTTTATGGCCCTACAAGTTTTCTGCTGAATACTGAGCACCTAAATTACCCTTCCCTAATGGAAGTCACATTTTCATGCTCAGTCAAAAAGCCAACAAAATACACAATTTATACAAAATAGCATCAGCCTCTCAGGTAGTCTTTTCTAGCACTTTTATCCCAATTCACAGCATATGTCTTGCTATAAAATAAAATATATTCCTTGTAACCAACTTGTATTTGGCTGTTCATATCACCGCATTAGAACGGCCCATGGGTGACAGTAGAAACATTCTTACGCCCAACCACATCTACTCAGTGCAACAAAGGACAACCATGAACTTTATCAGAAGATAAAAGTACACTAAGAAGAGAAATATCACCGTGATTCTTATGATTTCCTAGGTAGGCAGGATTCCTTTTGAAACAAACACACCGTAACTACATAGACAATTATGTCATCTGTCACTTCAATTGCAATGACATAACCCAGTACTGATGCAGAGAAGTAATCCTAGAGTTCAAAAAAAGTAAACAGTTAAACTTTTTAGAGCTGCCACATTTTTTCCTTTCTCAATTTATTAAAATTTGAGAAAATAAAAACTTTTCAATTATTTAATAATATATGACATAGTTTTCTTTATTTCTTTTTTTTTATAAACTGTCAAAGAGCCTGGACTAGAGATAGTTCTAGGTGAAGATTCTTTATATGAAATCCTTAACTGTTGACAGGAGAGTGTCTAGGTTTTAATCACAAAATGATAAGAATATTTCTTCACTAGGTATCTCTTGATAGGAACAGCTCAATTCTGACACACTGTTGTCAGATATTTTAAAAAAATACATTACTAGTGTACTTTTTGAAGTATGATTTCTCCAGAGAAATAAGCACTGGATTTCTATGCCCACAACACACAAATGCAAATTGAATTCTTGCCAATTCATGTATTTTCAAGAGAGGAAAAAAAAAGGAATATTCTCATTGTCCTGCTGTTCTATATTTAAAAAGGAAAAAAAGAAAAGAAAAGAAAAGAACACATCATCTTAGGTGCTACTGCAGAGATGGGCTTTCTTTGTCTGGTAGACTTAGTTGCAGGTTTTATAGAAGAAATAATTTTTGCTATATTTTCACCAGTATAAATGGAATACTTACATTGCCTTTTAAAACATTCCAAATTCTCATTTTTAAACAAGAAAATATGAAGCCAGTGTGCAACCTATACAGTCGCCAAAGGAGAGCTGCCACTAGCTGAACTACTCAGCTAAATGGCTGGTTTGCATTGCCCTGGTCTTTATCTAGCACTGAGAATAGACTGCTGTTTTATCCAAAGAGGAATAAATTGCTGTTATTGTGATGTTAGCCCATCACTTGGCATTGCAATTCAAGTTTTTGTGAGGAAGAAATGTATGATCTAACTGCGACTTGACCTATGCCTTCGGAGATCCATCTAGGTGCTCTAATGGAGCAGAAAAAGTGGTGAATATAAGGACATGCAAACTGATGGTGAAAAATTTGTTTGATGATAGAAGTGAGCAGAGAAGACATCTGAGAGTCACTATTTTTATGACAGATAAGTTTGTTTAACATGCAAAAGGATGCGCCCCCCCCACCTATTGCTTTAATTGTATTGCACTGAATACATGCTTTGCCTCTGTTAAAGATAGGAGGATATGTAGCTAACCTACCTAATGACATTACCACCAAAGTGGGCACAGACTCCTTACAAATAAACATCTGAATTTCCACAAAAGGCATTTGAGCACCCCACGGGATGTACTAGGTAGGACAGGCTTGGGTTGTTTCCCTGCAGAAAAGTCCTTCCCTAATCCTAGGTAGCCCCTATTAAATGTTTGCCATATACTTAAATCATAGCACCTAACAATATATACTTATTTTAAATAAGATAATTGTGTAATTGAGTTTTTTTTTTTAAACGCCCCCTGGTTGCAACCTAGTTTACAAACCATTTTTTCAAAATTTCTTTGGAAAGGACCTATTTTGAAAGAGACCTGGATAACAGCAGTAGTTAGATTTAAGCCCTGATAAAGGCTCACTTTTCATTCATAGTCAGAGCCTAAATGTGCTCTTCTTGTACCTAAACAGATAATAAGCACTCAGCACACTCCCCCTTCTTGACATAGCACACTGAGACTAATCACACATAATTGGAGAGGAGGAGCAGAGGGCTGACCACGCTATTGTGTCCAGAGGACAAACGGTCAGTTTATGAGGCTTTGGACTGGTGTAGTCATTTCTTATACATCTACAGGGAAAAAAACATCCTGTTTAAAAGGGAAAGGAAAAAAAATGAGAGAGACAGAGAAAGAGATGACAGATTGAACACAGTTAATTGGAGGGTGATCAGAAAGATGTGCTTTA